CATGCTCCAGGACCCACCCAATTTTGTGAGTGCCCTTGCCCCTGGAGACAGCCCTGATGTGAACTTACAACTTGATTGATTACACAAAGACACATCCCTTCAACTGGCAAATGGTCTTGTTACTTCTGCAATCATGACTTCATGTAGACTGTTTGTCACAACAACTTTATTCACAGGATCCACATCTCTCTTACAGTTGGAAGGGAATCCCTCCATGGGATATACATGTAATTTAACAAATCTAGTAGGTGTGGTCTGCCATCTTGATGTGCGGTGAACTTTGAAAAGGTTGTACATGTATCAACTAAAGGTTGAACTCATTTTTCTTTGCCAAGAATTTGAAATTGCATGCAAGTTCTCTTCTCATTTCTGTTCAGAACTTGACACTTGGATTTACGGCTAATATATCACTAGATTTTACCATGTTATAGAATGCGAGCTCACGTTCTTTAAACTATGTGTCATAGTGGAAATGTTGAAGACCTCCCCAATAGTATTCAGTAATCATATTCCAGGGTTTGCAATCTTGGGCTCTTTTCGTCTTGGAGGACTGTCATGTTGTCTCCGCTTCTCATGGCTTCTGTCAGTCACTGCAATCATACCATCAATCACTACATTTGCAGTCATACCTGTTTGAACTGTACATGTTTGCAGTTCGGATGTGCGGGTGATATTTCAGGCTTGGTTTTCCAATCTTAGCTGTCTAATCAAGTGGCTTTTAATGCCTTTACCATTTATCCAGCACTTCCTGTGGTGCAAGAGAAAATTTACCATGGTGTTCCATTGACGTAAGTTAGGACGTCATCTTAATCAAAGCCCAGGAAGACCTGATGGGTAATCCACTTATAGCATCAGCCAGGTTTGACCTCCAGCTGACAAGTGGCAGAGTAGGGCAAAGGTCAGCCATGTCCTCCATTAGTGAGGATGTGAGAAGGGCCGTGTGACATTGAGCAGTGGACAATAGTCCCAATCAGTCAAGGCTGGGGGACAAGCCTGCAGTGTTTGATTTGCGATAAATCGTAAAAGGCCTTTTATTGTTTAACGGTTGCAGGCAAGTCTATGTGTCATCTTTATGCTTCCTGTTGAAAGAAGGACACTAATGTTTATGTTGCTGAAGGCCACATGTATATATAATAAATGTATTTTGTTTGATCATATCTGGAGAAGGGAATTTCGGTGTCAAAATTAATGGAACCTCAATAATATTTTTGTTGCAAAGAATCATGGTTCTTTACACTAAATACTCAATTAAATACATCAAACATATGCATGCTTGGAAAATATCCTCCAGCACTGCTTTCAAGTCATTTGGACAGCATCCAAGTCAATGCCTTGTTTAAAGAACTGTAATGCCAGTGCCGACTGCAGCTCAATTGGAAACACCTGAGCCCTTCGCGCATGGCCGTGACCTAGTCATTAGTTTTACTATCCTCCGCACCACAGCGGGAACAAAAACAGGAAACAAAATTTTTCTCCTGATTAGTTCCCGTAGTTCTCCTGATTAGTTCCCGTCTCTACAACTAGACTCTCAAATGTGTAGGTCACTGATAGATGTGACCTCTCATTAATGAGACGGAAACAGCTTCTGTTTTATGCGCAGTCTGGCGGCTCATAGCTAATGCCTGTATTTAAGAGAAGATCAATAAAAAGTCCAATATCCTTTCCTGCAGCAATTGATTCTTCGTAGTTTTGAGAGAAGTGTAATTCATCTACTATGCTGGCATCTATATCATATGGCACATGTGCCTGTTCAGTTTTGCAAATTTGTTTGATTTACCAGCACACACTGTAAATATCTGAAGACTTATAATACCATCTTGATAAATGTGGAGTTATCAGAATTGTCAGTATTGGAAATAAAGACGTGGGACTTCCTGTGTTGTTTATACCTGTAGATTATGGTTTATTGTGGTTGATGTCCTATATATTATGTATTTTGTATACAGTAAAGCCTTGTGTGAGAGAGTAGATTGTTAGAGGCTAAACCTCTGCATCAAACAAACATGAATGGGTAAAAAAAGTTTCATAACTCTTTTTTTTGGAATGGGTTCCACCCAGATACCCCCAGTTTAGGATGTAGTTTGGCTCAACTTGTCCTTTGGGCAGAGCACATAAACCCAGACGCTGGTCTTGAAATGGGTCTTCTGACAGATGCGGGGGATGAAAATGACATCCACCGCACTGTAGAAAATCCCTCTAAGGTGCTGGAGGAATACCCGTGGACGGCATTAAGCCTCATCCCCCAGCCACCTGTGCCAATAGACAACCAAGTTACAGGAAAGAGTGGGTGTCCAACGCAATGTGCTCACAATCATTTTCAATCAGTGATCTTAAGCCAGATTAGGTGGTGCGTGTGGGGAATGGTGATGTTTCAAGTGTTGCTTGTGTTAAGGATGTGACAGGAACATGTATAAGTTAAATGAATGATATGCTACTATACTAGTTTGACATATCTATACAATAGTAATTTTTTTCTGTGATCAGTTTTTCTTCTATGATTCTGTGTTCTGTAGTTGTACATGTATGATCATAAACTGAATTTCTATATATTCCTCCCTTGTAGGGAAAATGGAACATGTATTATTGTTGCTGCATACATGTATTTCTTGGCTCTTGGCTCCATGCCTCTAACTTTATCTGTTTGCCTAATAACTTGTAATTTTGTCAGTTAAAAACAAAGACAATATTGTCCTTGCCTTTGTTACAGGTCTGTTTGCCTTCTGGCTATTTTGTTCTCAGCTTAAGTTTTTGAAATGAAGCATGGCAGCTACAGTTTCCACTTGGCCTTGTGGAGACAAGGGAGGAAATTGGCTGTCCAAGAAAATTGCCAGGAGTGCAGAAAGTCATTGAGATTGACCCCTCTCTTATCCCCAGCTCATCCTGAATTCAATTCCTGTAAATTGCGCAGTTCCTGCCATTTCAGGCTCATGCAGTAATGTTGGAAGATGAAATGGCTGTCAAATCAATGTCACTGTTGTGCCAGCATCAACTGTCAACCATATTCTGAGTCTCCCTTTGGAAATAACTAATGTGCAGCAAACTGAAAGGGGCCAAAACAGACATGTACCGCATTTAAATCTACTTGGAAGTTGCTTGCATCTAAATCACGTCATTACACATTCTGATGGCCAATAGCTATGATGATAGGATACAGTGTATTGTACTTTGGTGAGGTCAAAGTCAATAAAGTATAGGTCAGCTGTAAGGTGTATATCTGCCACCCAAATGCCAGAGGCCTTCCAGAGCCCTAAACCTCATAACTAGTAGAGGCAATTTTGAGAAAATGTACCATCCTTAAAGCTTGCAACAAGATGAGGAGAAATTCAAATCAAATTGTTTGCATATATATTACACATTTCAAGCTATGTAGATTGTAAAAGTCTTTCTAAAGCCTTATCCAAAACTTCAACAACAGCTGGAAATCTTGGGTGTCCTTTGAAAATATTAAGTTTCAAGGGCTGAATTTATTTGATATTTGTATTCATGACAGTCTCTGTGTTGTCATGCATAGGACGTACGTGACTGGAAGCCCAGGGGAAATCCCACTTAAGTACTTGTCCACCAGAGAAATACCGCCTAGAAATTGTTCATATAGTACTGGATATTGATGACTGTCATGTACGCTGCAACTCTAAAGCTTTATTGCCTGCTGCATTTTCATCAGGAGTGCTTCAATGCATGTCGCTTGGACCGCTGATGGCACAGGCAGTTTATGACAGAATAAAAGCAGTGAAGAAGTCATAAAGAGCACCAGTCACCCACTCAATCTTACAGTAACTTTTCTTGCCCAGATGTCAGGAACATACTGATTTTAGAATAAAAGTACTCTTTTTCCTCAACAGTGTTCAGAGAAAATGCCATTGTGGGGGTGTGAGTAGGTGTAAAAGACATGTAACTACAGTTCAATGTTAAGAATAAGAGTAACGGCAACATTAGTCTTCCTAAGATATTGTGTAACGTGGGTGTACATGGCTGTTACGGTCTCAGGCTCTGATACTAACAGATGACAAACGTAATTCTTTTGATGCTTCAGGCAACAGAGTTGTCCAGTATGAGGAAGTCTGTGATTTAGTGCGGGGGTTTCTGAGAATGAGGACAACATTTACGACAGAATCCAGGCTAAATCCTTGGCCTTCAGCACCTGCATGTAGAAGGGAAACGTTACAAGAGCAGAATACTTTGAGGCTACCTTTTGGCTGGAGCTATTTTTATGGTTTGTTAACGCTGTGTGTAAATGTTGCAATGTAGGTAGTGACTTGCGGGTGTTTATAAAGGGCTATGATATCTGGAAGAGAAAGGTTGTCTTCGTTCATTCACCAGTTTCTGTATTCTCCGGTCACTGTAGTTTTGGATATTTACTTTAAAGCTTTCTATTGTGAGTTTAGATCCATGACATTTGGATTGGTTTTGCACTAATTCATGGTTATGTTTAATGGGTAACTTGTTTTGGATATTCTTGTTTTTATTATATTAATGGGTGACTCCAAGGTGCTGAAATTCTTGCTGTTGTGCATATGATATTTGACAGTTTTGTTTAATCACTCAGAATTTGGTGAACTGAAATAAGTCAAAGGAAAAACATGATGTTCAAAGAAGCAGTCCTTCATAGCACCCACATGAGGTTGCTATTTTAGCTAGGTCATAAATCAATGGCTTAGATGAATATGTTTTCAACTATGATGAAAAATCATGGAAATGTTCACCTTTATGTGGTTTGTATTTGAGTGTAATGAATGGTAGGGTAAATATATACATGGGATTTATGCTACACCTCCTTGTAAACTGTAGATATGAATGTTACAAAGAGATTTATATAAGTTTTTTTTATACAGGATATGAAAATAAATTGTTATAGTGGAGATTTTTTTTCTGATGGCTACTGTATTTCCAATCATTCTGTCATTTTGTTCACCATTCATTTTACATAGATGTTTTGATGATAACAGCACACAATATTTTGATAGATACATATTGAGTTTTTATTTCCTCTTGTTTTCCAGAGTTACAGGAGGGGAGCTGTTTGACAGGATAGTGGAGAAAGGCAGCTACTCTGAGAAGGATGCCAGTAGTCTAGTCAGACAAATCCTAGATGCCATAGCCTATCTACATGACCAGGGAGTGGTGCACAGGGACCTCAAGGTATCAGCATCTTTACATACCATCTCTGAAGGTCTTAAACTTGCTAAACTTTGATTCTTTACATCTTACCCTAAGTCAGATGTGCCTGTCAATACTATGCATGCATTTTTGGGTTTGGGTTAAGAAAATGGCATAGCTTTAATGTTGTTGTTCAAGAGAGAGATGATAAATTCACTTTGATTTTTGTCTTACAGTGTTTGCACTAAACAGTGTTGTTTAAAAGTTATTTAAACTTTAAAGGGTACATTTTTAACTCAGTGAAGCATACAGGGCCCTCTTATGTTTGAGTTTACAATATGGTTAAGCATAACACATGTTTGATTATTTGTCCTTTTGTTTGTCCTCCCTGCAGCCAGAGAACCTCCTGTATTACTCCCCAGATGAGGACTCTAAGATCATGATCAGTGACTTCGGTCTCTCCAAGATGGAGCAGGAGGGAGTCATGTCTACTGCCTGTGGAACTCCAGGATATGTCGGTAAGTCCACCTTAGTCGCAATTCCACTATTACTTGTTAACTGTAGCTTCTAGTTGCCACCTATCTGTGGTGCAGTCACATAGCTTCAGTATATTACTCTGACAACAATACAACACATTTCTATTTCAAATGTGTACAGTTTACACACAATTGTTTTACTGTGTAGCTCATCTCTTCAACATCATTCCAGGAGTTGAATATTAGTCAAAAGGTGTGCAACAGCTAACTGGCTCTCATCCAATCATTGACATTTTGCTACTGTAGAAGAGCCCACTTTGGGGACCCACTGAAGGTCATGAAATGTCAACTCTGTAGGTCAAAAGTACTTTCAGAGTAATAGCTTGAGCGCACTCCAGTTTATCTCTGGAGAAACACGGCAAGTAGGTTCTGTCTCTGTCGGGATTCCAGAAAACAGATGTCTGCATTTGGAATCGTTGCATGTAGCAGTGGCACTTGTGTGGTTGTTTGTCTTACACTATGATCCTTGTACAGGATTGAACCCCAGTTTTTCATGTCAGCAAGTAATGTAGTGGGTGGGAAAGGTGATATTTTCCAGATGCATTATGATACATGTTCAAACACACTTTCCTGTAAGTTTCAAAAACCCTAAGTTCCTCTTTGCTCCATGATTTATCTCATTTCTCCAATCATTTTACCAAATTTATAAATTAATGATAGATGCTTTTCCGTCCTTCACTTTGCTTTCAAAGTATAATGCATTTTGTTTTAATGCTTCCATTATATCACATCACACAGATCATGTATAAATTAAAAGTCCAGTGTCAGTGCCGCCCACATTCAGGAAACAGAAAGGTGTAAGATTTATTAGGATTTCATGTATCTCCATGTTTTTAGCTTTGGAAGCATTAACATACATGTGAGGAAAGGAAGTATCTATGAGAAGTAGCTATATCAGAATATCAGATTCTATGGAAAGGACATAAAATGTTGATCAACTGCATTTTGTGTCTTACAAGTAAAATTTTGTGTCTTTCCTCTTGCAGCTCCAGAAGTGTTAGCACAAAGGCCTTATGGAAAGGAAGTGGATTGTTGGTCAATTGGTGTCATATCCTACATTTTGTAAGTACCTTACTTCATCTGCATGTCACTATCACCATGTACATGTACTCTTTAATACAAGAATCCTTTGGTCAAGGCCTATAGTATGGCTTGTTATGGGTCCTCATGGAATACTGTACATGCATTATATATGATTATTGATTGGTAAGAGTGGTGGGTGTGGGTGTCTCACCCTGAGGTATAAATTTGATAGGAAAACTGTATATTCCCTCCACTATCTACATAGATTGTCTTGCAAGGTCATACGACTAAGCTACACGTGTGAACTTGGGAATACAGTCATTTTGTATTAATTCATATTGTGCAAGCTTTCTTCATCCTGTGAAGCTGCATTGAGATGCATACATGTATGAGAAAACTGGCATGTAATGTAAAGAATAAAGGAAATACGTCTAACATGAGATAAGATGCTTCCTTAGGACTAGGAGACCCACGAGTAGTATGCATGACTTTGGGATTGCAACAACTACCCACAAACCAAATATCATCACAAACCAAGTACAACTATTTTGTCAAGCCCTTGTACGTGCACGCACAAACAGGCACATAGCCATAGAGAACTAGAGGTCGGAGATCTCATGTCTTCGTCAGAGGTACATCGTTCTAGAGAAATTAACATGCGTATTCTTCAATCTTTTTAATAATCAATTTGGTCTAAAGAACAAAAGAATCTCTGTACTATTTTTATTATGGTACAGAACACCCTGAAACGGTTTGCCGCAGATTATACAGATGCGTCGTCACCCGTGTTAGCCCCCCCCCCCCCTACGTTATTTGAGTTTGGACTGTTACTGGAAAAAACGTTCAAGAAATTCTTACTGTGTTGAAAGTGTCACGACAGCGCCGCAAAATATAATAAGAGAAGATTGTTGTGAAGAGGTTCTTCTGGATTGTAAAGAACTGGTCGCACACTGGACTTTTGTGGAGCTTGATGGTTTATTGTGTTGCCTCCAGGACTCCTAGCACCAGAGTGAGGTTCCTGGGTTGGACTATTCTACTTCTAAGATAGGGGGTTGTGTAACAGGACTAGTCTACTTATATGATAGGGGGGTTCTTGTATGGTAATGCACATATGGTTCACAGTGGGTTCACAACATACCTCCCCTCACACAGGAGGATTGACGAGGTCAATCTGAATAATAATAATAAACAGTTGAACCCACTGGTTAATTACTTACTTAAGTTACAGATGACATAGGTATTGTTGTACATGTATTATATTAAAGTTACAGAAAATGATACGGCGTGGAACAAAGTAGCTGTTTGAACCTCAGAAGACAAACTCTGGTTGACAAAGAGACCCAGTCGAATGCCTGGAACACTGAGGAACAGTTTGCTACTTTGTGTACCAGATAATGGTTGGGAATCAGGTTAACTTGTATCATACAAAATGCAAATTTGGAACAACAAGGTAGCTATTTGAACTTCAGAAGGCAAACTCTGGTTAACGACGAGACCCAGTCGAATGCCTGGCACACTGAGGAACAAATTATTTACTACAATGTCTACCAAATAAGTAATGGGAAGTACAGTACAATATAGAAAATGGTATAACAATGGAGGTAGAAAAACATGGATCAAGGTGTAGCTATGATTTATACATCAGAAAACAAACCCTGGCCAACGTAAAGTGAACCAGCTGAATGTTTGGCACACTGAAGCACTAAATTGTTGCCACACTGACCAAGAGACAGGAAACTGTGAATATTTTACTTTGGCCTGTTGTTTTTGAACAGGGCTAATGGCTACCACATGTGGTGGGGCAATCAGGGGCTGGTCTGAACACATCTTGCTCAGGCCACATGGCATGGCATGGGAAAGGAAACTTTGCAAAAACAAAGTTCTAGAATAAACACTTACAGGAATGTTAAAATGTAAATCTAGCTAGCTGTAAAGAGTCCAAGAATATAAATGTGAGAATGTTTCTGCTAGAGGCTACAGTTCAACTGGAAGCTTGCTTGCATAAGTACAGTCTTAGTGTGTGGTCTTGCTGGGCCTGACACCAACAATGAAGGATTCCCGAACGTTCCTAAGACTCTGTCCCACCCGAGGCCTGGAAGCTTGCTTGACCGCCCGTTTCTGGCAGTGGACCCTGAAGACTGGACACGTGCCTGCATTCACTCGCCTCCCGATTCCACCCGACGAGTTCGGCAGCTTACTTTACAAATCGTTCTGTCAGTAGAGTTTGGAGATGGGGCTGACCTCTGTCTCATGAATTTCTACCCGACGACTTGAAGCTTGCGTGACCGCCCGTTGCTGGCAGTGGACGTTGGAGACCGGATACAGTGCCGTATTCGCTAGCCTGGTTCCACCCGACGAGATCGGCAGCTCACTAGACCACCCGTGCTGTCAGTGGGGTTTGGAGACTGGAGACAGTTCTTCCCTTCCTTCACGTGGTATCGGATGTTTCGAACCCATAGAAGACTGTATCTTGAATGTAGGGTGTATTTCTGCTGGAGGCTGGTATGATGTTGAGGTTTCTGGGTCCAGGATAAAGTGACAGAATGGCCATGGTCTTACTCACCCTCCCACAGCAGCTTGGCACATGGTGGAGCTGGAAGTCGTCAGCTCTGCGGTGAGTTTGGCCGGATGGGTACAGTTCTGTGCATCGATATCGTGCTGACCGTCAGTACAATCCTGTCCGTGACGCCATTTGTTGTGAAGAGGTTCTTCTGGATTGTAAAGAACTGGTCGCACACTGGACTTTTGTGGAGCTTGATGGTTTATTGTGTTGCCTCCAGGACTCCTAGCACCAGAGTGAGGTTCCTGGGTTGGACTATTCTACTTCTAAGATAGGGGGTTGTGTAACAGGACTAGTCTACTTATATGATAGGGGGGTTCTTGTATGGTAATGCACATATGGTTCACAGTGGGTTCACAACAAAGATGTTATAAAGGAAAGAATCAGAACAGGGTGACTACTGCTGTTTTGTTAATTTGTCTTTATGACAAATAGAAGACTTGTTTCTTGTGTTCTTTGTGTCCTAACATTTGTACTTCTACAGTTAGTATATTCCAAATCTAGGCATCTCGTTTTTCGGCCCTTCGTGTTTTTATTGCGCGCTTGCCTTAAATTTAAGGTAATTAGATTTAAGGTCTCCAGTGGACGTCATCCATAGCAATTACTTGGTGTGGCCGTAGAAAATAACCTGACATATGTCCAACCTATCCTCCCCCTGCTGAAGTTATAGTACAATCCCTCAATGTAACGTCATTTGATCCCATCCCATTATGGGGTTCCCCGGCTATATCCAGCTGTCGGCTGTCTCCAAGCAGATGTAGGTGGGGGATTTCTAAACACAAAAGGTCCTATTACGGGGACATAACGACCTCCACGACTCTCATCTTTGAACTCAATCTTGGAGACCACGACAGTAATATGCCTATCAAATTTCATTAACTTCCATCCACACATACAAAAGTTATCCTGCTCACAAGAAAAATTAACAAAATGCCCCCTGTAGTCACAACAAAACCCCCCACGAAGCTCAGTAACGAACTTAACCTTGGTCCTGACAATAGTAAGCACCACACCAAGAATTATAATCAACATTTTACAAATACTTGAGTTATCTTGCTAACAAGCCACAAACACAAAAGGTGCACTAACGTGACGCTCGGACCCCCCACGAAGCCAAAACTTGTACTTGACTTCGGCCTTAACAGCGGTAATCTGCCTGCCAAAAATCATGGACGTCGAATCATGCCTTCCAGAGTTATATCGCAAAATCCGCAGTTCCCCACACTCCGGCGAGACAATTTCATAGTCCTTCTGACGAAGACAATAATCCTGTCCTCATTTTTGGACCATTCATGCAAATGAACATTACATTTTAGACTTGAACAGGAATATTCTTCGATTCTATCAGTTTTCTTCTGTGACATTGTTCCAAGTTCCTGAAAAATAAATTTGTTCAGCCTTCAAGGTTGCAGTGTGGCTTTGATGTATATGAAACAACATCTGCTGATAAAGTCGAACCCATCATCATGTGGGCAAAGTCCCAATGACATATCTGTAATAATGATGATGAATTAGGAGATTAGATGTAAAGAATGGTAGCTTTGATTCCTGGGTGCCTGCCAGCTTCTGGCTAGACTTGTACGTACCAATCTTCTTTTTCTAAAGGGGAGGTAACACAGATACTGCAACCTTCACCCCATACAAATCAACGTGAGGTAGATGAATGGAGAACAGTGATATGATCTCTCCATTCAGCCTACTTCTGTACTCAGGCTGAGGAGTCCAGACAGGGTTCATATACCGTGGAATGTGATAATGATTGTATCTTAAGGGAAACTGAACTGCAGTAGGACGTCTGTATGTCTGTTGACATACTACTGAAAGCCTGGGGCCTCTTAGAAAGAGATACACAGACGATTTCTGACAAACATTTCAGCTAAACTATT